TTGTTTTCGTTTCATTCTAGTCGTCACACTGGCAAAGCAAAATGATCATTGAATAAGACAATCGGATTAAATTACAATATAATCATTTCTCACTTGATGTGATAAATGGTATTACTTACTTGAGATTCAAGGATTGCTTGTTCTATTTCGTCCAATTTTTGCATTACGATTTCTGTGTCTTGTTCGGCTTCGGAATATTTCTCGAGTAGATCGAATAAATTTACTAGAAAATTCTCCACTCTGCAATATCGGTGAATAAATGACTTCACCTGTTCATTTAGTTCTCTTAAATCTTCTAGCGTGTCAAGACGGTAGTCACGAATAAAGCCTAATAGAGAATTTAGATCATACATTCTATCGGCTAACGAGCAAACGAACTCAGATTCATGGCGACCATACCACAACTTTGGGGCGGCTGGAGCTTTTGGCGRGAATTTGTGAAGAAACCGGAAGTCCCTGAATGTGGTTCAGGGAAGTCCCTGAATGTGGTTCAGGGAATTTCACTTCCGTTCCGAGAATTCGACGGAAATAAATTGAAGCAAACGAACTTAGCATTAAAATTGCGCATTAAAACAATTAGCGCATTGAAAGCAATCACTTATAACAAGACATTTGTTAAATAACTTTTTTGTCATTTTTAGAAGACTTACTTGGTAACAAAAGCATATATCAATATATAAAAATTTTTACTTGCAAAAGTGGGGGGCACCGGCCCCCCAGGCCCCTCCCCTAAATCCGCCCCTGTACACAGAAAGAATTTAGCATGCAAAAAAGAAATCCACTCTATAAATCAAACCGTGGTCCCCTTAGCCTTAGGTGTTTTTCATAAAGCAGTGAAAAAAAAGCACTTTAGCACACCCTTCAACTAGTACACTTAATAAATTATAGGGTTCCAAACTGCCATCATATTGGCCCCAGGAAAAAACAAACAAAACAAAAAAACTTTTTCCACAGATTTATGAAAACCACTCAACTATCTAGCTATAATTAAATTTCAAAACGTTTATTTCACAATAGAAATGTTTCTTTAGTTTTCATGTATCCAAAAATGAATAGTATCTTGCATATTCTCCGTTCTTCGTTGACTCATAGTCAACTATGGTTGACTTCAACGTGTCTTTAGTCTTAACGCACGTATGAGACTTTTTAGCACGTGCTAAAAAGTCTCATACRTGTTTTACGACTAAAGACACATTAAAGTCAACGAA